TTTTTTTTTTTTTTTTCCGAAGAAAAAGGGCCCTGTGCCCAAGGCTGATATTATGAACATTACCGGGAAACGGGCCCGGCGTCCCTTACAAACTTCAACAGCCCCAGGCTTCCACCCTGCTACTCCGGTCGGGTGCCAGTCCAGGCTGTAAGAACAAAACAAAACTAAAGCAAATCAAAATCAAAAACACTGTACAGCGTCCTAGCTATACACAGTCAGATAAAAGAAAACAGTGTAATCAAGGAAGTAACCAAGGAACTAAGGGCGTCGTTAGACACTCCTCGAGCCGTCCTCGGAGTTCGAGGACGAATCCTCGAAAATTTTTACGTATTTTTGAGGTGTCCTTCCACCTGTCCGCGGAGAATCGCCCCGAGGATGAATACTCGGGGCCCTCCCGCGGCCAGTTTCATGACATTATACACGGCCGCGAGGGTGTTGTCCAACCTTCGATTCGGGATGTCCGTGTTGGAGGCGTGGTGGTCCATCAGGCGGACGGCGGTACTGCGTCACGGGGCACGAAGAAAAAAATCGCCAACGCGGGAACGGCCCCGTTCGAATTTCGAAATTCGAATTTGCGCCATGCGGAGCGACAGTCTGGCGGCGCACACGCGGATCGGTGAGGAGGGGGGCAGTGCACATCGCGAAGGGTTTCGGCTGCCATGGCATTGCGCACTTAAGTGCCGCCGCACCGCCGCGTCTCCAGGGTGTTCGACGCCGCGCCGCGCTTCGTATGCTGCCCGTAATTGCACTCGTGACGCAGAGGGGCGCGGCGGTTCCGTACTTCAGCGGCAGTGGGCGGACGCTCCAATCGGTGTGGAACATCGTTAAGCACGACTGCATTGCTCACGTGATTGCAGGCGCCTTCAATCGCAGTGGGAGAGGTGCATGCAGGTGGGTGGCGAGGAAGGTTTCTTTTCCTGTCCGAAGCGCGGAATGGAGGGCAACGATCGCGATGGTCGCGGTGTGCTATCCTGTGCGGAGAAGACAACTGTCGCGGCGGCTGCTGTCGCAGTTGTCCGTCGATTCCAGGTTAAGAGGGCGGCTGGGCGCATGAAAATGACGCTTTCCAGGCGGCGGCAGAGGATTCTGCTGCAGAGGGTGTTGGACACCCAGAACTGCGTTACCACGTAGTGCTTCAGCTATGCTTTGCAATAGGGTGCGGTGTGGTTCCTCGGTCGACGCCACGTTGGTGGATGAGGCGGAGAACCGGCGGGACTTGGGAGGATTTGCGGCTCTGCGATAACGCGACGGACGAGTACTTCCGGGGAAAGCTCTGCATGTCGAGGAGAGTTTTCATTGAGATTTGCGAAGCCTGTGCACCTCTCTTGCAACGACAGGTGACGTTCTACAGGGAGCCACTTCCGCCGGAGCAGATCGTCGCCTATGCGCTGTACAGGTGGGCTACAGGAGAGTCATACGACAACAGCACCTCATCTTTCGGCATAGGCTGGGCATCCGGAATTCTGGCCGTGCGCGATGTGACAAATGCTTTGTTGAGGGTGTATGGGGACAGGTTATCGTGGCCGACGGGGGTGCAAAAACAAGTCGTGCTGCGGGCGTTTCTAGACAAGGGCTTTCCAAACTGCCATGGCGCAGTTGACTGCACACACATCTACCTGGACAAACCGACGAACGCGCCCGGCGAGAACTACTTCGACCGTAAGCACCGTTTCTCCGTCATTGCGCAGGTGGTGGTGGACCTGGATCTGCGCGTGCTAGACATGTTCGTCGGATATCCGGGGAGTTGTCACGACATCAGGGTGATCCAACTGTGGAGTCTGTCGAGGCGCGCGGAACAAGGAGTGGCCGCCTGTGACGCTGTCGGGGGGGGTGAGGACGAACGGTTACATCTTGGGAGACAACGGGTATCCTCCTTCTGAATGGGTAGTTGTGCCCTACGGAGGAATCAATCAGCACCCGGACGAGGAAAGGTTCGACACGAAGCAGAAGGTCGCAAGAGGGGTTGTGGAGAGGGCGTTCGGGAGGTTGAAGGGGATGTGGAGGCTCTTCCTGCGGACACACAGGACAAACCTGAAAACACTACCACAGCAGTTCACGGCAGTCTGCGTTCTCCACAATATCCTCCTCGATGCCGGTGTCGAGTTCGACGAGAATTTGTTGTGGGAGGTCGACGAGAACGGGGTGAGGCGCCGAGTGGACCTGGGGATTCATCGTCCGTTGCAGCTTGTGTCGATGTTGACGTCCACCGGTCCCGCCCTCGTGCTCCGCGACGCGCTGGCGGAGCGAATGAAACACCTGTGATCCTGTGCACTGCCTGCGTCTTTCACGCGCAGAACACTTGCTTCGAGTCGTGTTCTGCCATCTTCGATTAGTTAGGAGGGTTCACCCTCTTTCGCTTTTGCGCGCGACGAAGCAGATGGTTTTCGGTCGCGGGCGGTCTTTTTCGGAGTTCGTTCTTATGGTCGACGGTAGTGTGCTTGTCCAATTCGTCTATGGTTCCCAGTGACGTGGCTCTGCGGTCGTTCGACGTCATGTCTACAGTGGTTCGGTTGTGCACTTTGTTTGGAATTGAACGATGTTGTCGACTCCTACGCTTATGAGTATGTGGTTTACAGCGCTGCTTTGTTTCAAATTGAACGATGTTGTCGACTCCTGCGCTTGTTTTGATTGCTATGTGATAATTTCTTCGTGCATTCCGCTTCTTCCTTTCGTTCGGCGACCGACTTCTTTCTCAACCTCATTCAAAATGTTTGTCATTCACACACTGTGTGCAATTTTGTATAATTGCTCAGGGTCATCGGTGACACATGAATACGGCAATGAAGATTCATGTACATTGAGAAACGAAGCATTTCAATTTTGTTCTTTTAGCAAATGCGTGGTGACAGTGCGTGGCCAGGTTCGTTTCTCTCGTCCTGTTTTTTTTTGTCGTTCCCGTTTTCGCAGGTGCATGCGATGATAAGGACGCAGACTTGTCACACATCCGACGAAGGGCCGCTTGCAGAAGCAAAAGATGTGAAGGACACGACAATCGCTATTAATGCATTCCGTACATGATATATTCACACGAAAGACAACAAAACCAAGTTTGAGCGACAAATCATGGACATGCGAGTACACAATTCTCACACACGAAATAAGACTTTAATTACATGCATTCCTTCCACAAATGAATATTGACGCGGAATTCGAAAACAGGAGTCCAACTGTCCACCCTCGAAGCGCACCACAGCAACGACGGACCCCACCTGCCTTCTATTTCATTCCTAACGTGTCGTGGAGTGGCCTAATACACAAGGCTTTGGAGCAGATCTACGATCTCTGCTCCAATGAGAAACTAATCATAACGAAAAGAAAAAACCTAGCAGGTGGATTGCTGACACAATAAAGCTCCACCTGCATTGTACTGTCACCGTACACTAAAACAACACGCCCACGAAGATGACGACTGTCGACGTCACGACACCACCGAACTGTGCGCTCCAACAATGACCATCGACGACAACACGTGTAGCGCGATGGAGGGGTTCTACCCATCCATCGTCATGGATTGCTGCACAGGAACGGCGACCGGCCATCTCACCTTCCACCCCCCACCCCCCACCCCCACCATCATTCCCCCCCACCCGGCCCCATCCCGCCGCGGCCTTGCGGATGAACCACGTGTCACTTCTCGTCATCGCCATCCCCCCCACCCGCCCCCATCCCGCCGCGGCCTTGCGGATGAACCACGTGTCACTTCTCGTCATCGCCATCGTCATCCGCCGGCGGGCCGTTGCCGATCCACCCGTGTTTTGCTGCTTTCGCTGCATTCTTGAGGGCCGCGTTGTGACTGAAAACCAACCCGCAATCGGCCCATTTGGGGATGCAATGCAGGTAATCTCCGAGCGTGAGGTGGGCCTTCCCCAAACGATCCAAGACGAGGTTGGCGGTGTCAACGATGTGCCGCCGCCAGTTGAAGATGTAGGAGCCCGCCGCTATGAGTGTTGGTTTGGCGACCATGGACGCGTAGAATGATGCCTCGTAGTGCGAGCGGTCGTCATCACCGCCCATCCGCATGATCCACATGCACGCGCTCAACAGAACTCGAAAACAATCCGCAAGGCACGTCAACCTATCCTGTTTCACCCGGCCACCGTCCCCCCATTGCCCGCACCAAACTGCATTTGTCCAGCAGTCTGCCAGGCGCAGAACTGTCGCCTCCTGCCGCGCCGCCATGTCGTCGTCTTCTGGCCTAATCACAATCTTCACTCCAGCGAACCACAGAGGCACGTCCATCTTCATCGCCAGCGTGTGGTAGACAAGGGCAAGGGAAACGACTTTCGACCATTCTAAAGCCTGCCAGACTACTCGCGCGACGTCTGTTGCGAAGTCCACTGTCACGTATGATTCTGCACGAGCTAAGCCTGTCGACCTCGACGACGATTTGAAGATCCAACCGTGGATGGCACGCAGCACCACTTTCTCCACGTTGCGTGCTCTACGCAGAGCCGGTTCACGCTGCGCAGGGTCGTCGATCTTGAAGCGTGGCACATCATTCGGCTGCATTACCAGCATCGAAGGCGGTTCCGCTCCTGCATCCCTGTTGGCGATGGTGATGAAGTAGTCCGTGCAATCGCCTACCGCCTCCCTCAATGGCTTCCCCGGTCCCTGACCCCAGAATGCGTCGCAGTCGATCCACAACTTCGACCTCTCTTCGAGATCATCCTCTTTAACCCCTTTCTTCACAATCGCCGAAACCAGACAATCGTAGTCATCATCGCCCCCCCCCCTGGCATCCTTCCTCCCATCATCGCGGCGGACGTCATCGACCCTCCCCTCTCCTGCACCCTCCGCGACTCCGCTCCCAGTGGTGTTATCTGCCGCCGTCGTCCGACCACCGCCCGCCGTCGTGTCGACCTTTTGCGCGGACGGTGTTTTTTCCACCCCTGAAGTCCCCGCCTGTAGCGCTGGGATTGGCTGACGTGGCGCCACCTGGCCGACCTTTGGCGGAACTTGTCTCGCCACGCGCGCGTCCGTCATGACAATCCCTACCGACTTCGGGGTTCGTGCCAACGAGACGACGACACCACCGACCAAGTCTTGCTTCAGAGCGGCCAGCTGATCCCTCGACACCCTGTCCCGCCCAAACCCCAATTGCTTCATGACGTCCGCCCCTTGTGCATTCACCATCGACTCTTCCTCGCCGTGCAAATCCCCACTATGTTCGGAGCTGTCATCATCGAAGCGCGGCCTTTTCGACTTCGGTATGTGCCCTCTGCCTTTTTGGGTCTCCCCATCGTCGCCCGATCCGCTGTTTCTTTTTGCCTTCCCTGAAGTGTCGCACGGTGCCATGTCATCCACAAAGAAGTGCGTGTCGAATGCAAAAAGTTGCGGCGCTTGGCTGACGTGGATGAAGGACCACGTGGACAACGGGAATGAAGGAGCGGTGGGAGGTCGATGATGGGCACCTTGCCGACGGACGACGTTGATGATGAGGCGCTTCGCTGCTGTGGATGAAGGACCAGTCCGATGGCACGCCGCTTGGCTGACGTGGATGCAGGAGGACGTGGATGCCCGCGGAGCCCAAACCCGCCGATCGTAGCGTGACAAACGGATGACTACGCCTGTGACGACGATACCATGCACAGACGGTGTCTTTGGAGTCGTCGCAATAGAATGCCAGCGGTACGGAATGCCTCCCGGAATGCCCTTTTGTATGGTGCGCGGTCTCGCATCACACCATGGACAGGCCAGGCCATCCACTACAGCCCGCACCTTCGTCGATTCACAACAGACGAATTTTCTCGTGCCGTGGAGGTCATCCTCCGCATGATGAACAAGGCACGACGGGGCGCAGGCGCTCCTCACAGGAGGTACAAAGACCCCGCCCCCCATCCGTCCTCTCCCGCCCCCAAAAAGGCCAGGCTCTCCAATCCGCCATATTCCCCTCGCGTCCCAAAAAACCCACCCTGCCGCCTACACATTCGCGGACACCCCCAAAGAAGACCCTGGAAGATCGCCATCCATGCGTGGAGACAACAACTCACAACAACGTTCTTTAAACACTATTTAAAAAACGCAGGACCTGCTGTACAACCTCAGGACCTGGTGCGGGGCATGAAAGTAAACAATGCCCTTCACAGTCATGAATAAAACCCGCGATTATTACTAAGCGTGAGCAACGACGACTCGCTAATTGTACACAACATACACATCACCGTGCTGCAGCACGGAGGACGACGGAAAAGGCGACGTGCCGGAAGCGCACACGGGCCATGCCTCCGGACGTTCGACATGCCTGGTCGGCCCACGTCAAGCTCGTTCGCGGATCGCTTTAGCAATCTCCATGAGGGCGTTGCACATCATGAAGTTCGCCTGGTCAGCCTTCTCGTAGTGATCCTTCTGCACTTGTATCTCTCTCTCTAGAATGTCGCATTGCCTCGTCAGAATCGAGCACTGCCTCTTGCTCGCGCTGTCCACCGTCGTCGACATTAGCGCCCCGTGCTCCTTCATGACGTCCGCCATCGCCTCGAAGGTCTGCTGTATGACATTCTTTCGTTTGCCGGCCCCGCCACCGCCACCGCCGGAGAACGACGAATCCCTCGTCGATCCACGATCGTCGTCCTGACCGCCCCCCCCATGTCACTACCGCCGGATTCGTCTCGCCCACCAACCGTGCCAGGCAATTGAACACCTCCCGGCGCACCCGTGTCCGCGAGATTCGTGGGGTGTATAGTGTGATCGCCCCCGGACATCGCCTTCATCTCCGAATACACGCGCTCATCCATCATAAAGTCGAACCCCCGCTCCCTCCTCTCCCCCGGCGTTAGTGTGAAGAAGTTAGGCTTCCCGAACTCTCCCATGAACTTGTGCACAGATTTGAACTGCTGGTACAGGTTGTCCCATTTCTTTCCGCAGTCAACAGCCTTCCTACTCGTCACCCCCATCTGCACCAGCCTCTTCTCAACGTCCTCCCACTTCCATGTCTTCGTCTTCATCTGTCCGTAGTTGTGCCCCAGGCCGACCAGATGCGAATCCTGGTCTCTTTTGACTCTGATAAGAGCGATCATATGCTCCACTGTCCAAAAATCCCTGCTTTTTGTTCCGTCGCCTGCCCACGATTCTTCGCCGCACTTCTTGCCTTTCCGCCCCGTGCGCGATTCTCTAACCTTGGTTCTCGCCGTCGACCCTCCGCGCTTCCTCCCTACTAGACGAATCTCCATCTCGCCGTCGTCGTCTTTGTCGTTGTCATCACCGCCGTCGTCCGCAGCGATCTCCTCGCCCCCTCCACCAGCGCAGTCCTCAAATTCGTCTTCGGCCCCCACACTGATTCTCGCCACCCCTCTCGTTATGCTGGCCGTGTTCGTGGAACACAATCGTTGCCGTTCATCATCCCAAAACTAACGACCGACGACCTCCGCGGCGTCGCGCTCGTCGTCGTCCCCTTCTCCGTTGATTGCACCGCCTGGCGTCGTCGTTCGGCAGCCTGCCAATCAAACTGTCTTTGTTCTCGACGCTGCCACACTTGCTGTACTCAAAGCCACCCGCCTCGGCGAAACGAATCCACGGCTATCCGCGGGGCCAGCCGCCCTCACGGAAGGCGATGTGTGTTTGGAGGCAGAAGCCGGGTTCATGACAACATCGTGCGTCAGGCCCTCGCCACTCCCAGACCTCAGACCGAATCTCAGATCGAAAAGTCCAGCGTGGTAACCAGCGGGGGTCCGGCCCTCCAGCAAATCAGTGTACGTCGGCGTCGATGCGTGTCTGTACACCTGGCTCCCCATCCAATCCTGAGTCGAGCCGATGCCCAGAGGAACCGTTGAGGATCTGGGGTCGTCGACGTCGTCGTCACTCGGAGGCAATGGAATCTCTTGGGATGGCAGGTGGCTGTACAACGTCGGGTCATACGGCCGCCTGCCGCCTTCCGCACCGTTGCAACGCTGACGTGAGGACCCCCCACCTCCCACCGACATCGTCGTCTTCGTCCGAAGCTTATCCATCTTCGTTGACCTCTTCGGCGTTCGACGCGTCTGTTTCCTTCCAGGAACGCGATCGAGGAAACAGATGTGGAAGACGACAACGATGAGCAGCAGCAGAGCGACGAGCAGCAGCAAAGGCGGCCTGCGGTACAGGTCTGCCATCAACGTCAGGTCAGCCGACACAGAACCGTTGTCGCAATCGCGGCGAGCAGAGACACACTGTGCGAGAGGGAAGACGCCAACGAACGAAATTCATCAAGCAGCGACAGGGGGAGGACGCTTACAAAATCTGTAATTCCGACCGTTGGGAAGCCCGCGGGAATGCCACGAAGCCTCCGGGCGCCGGCCGAAGACGTCCGACGATCGCCATGGCCCCTCCGTGGGGCCGCCCGAAGGACCTACAGGGCCGTCCCGCGATTCAGCGCCAACGGTAAAACGAGGAGGCCGTTGCTGGAGGTTTTCGACTACGACGGCCGGGGATGTCCGTCTTTTGGCCGCTGGACCACCACTGGACCACCTTCGGCCTCCAATTTCCGTTCTGGAGTAGCCGCCGACACCCCGTTAATCACGGATCCTCGGGCTCCGAAGAACCTCGCGAGGTCCTTCGAGTTCGAGGATGATTTGGCTGGGAAATCCTCGGAGCCCGAGGATTTGTCCTCGGAGTGTTTTCACATTTTCATTTCCGATTTCATCTCCGAGGACAGGTGGAACGACGACGGAATCCTTGGAATCGCGTCCCCGAGGAGTGTCTAACGACGCCCTAAGTAAAGAGCTGAGTAATCAAGACTTTGTAAAACCCTGTCAGGAGCAGCAGCGTCCTGTCTATCTACAAGAAGAAAGATGTAAAGGCCAACTCTGGAGTCCCTGTGGAACCCACAGTAATGCTGACCAATCCCGAGGACCGTGTCCAGTGTGAACAAAACTTGTTCATGGGTTTGGATCTGTACCCTTTGCTAACCAGTTTATGTGTCCAATCAGTGGCAACAGCCTGTTTGATATTAAATTTAACCTGGGCTCTGACCATCGGAGGGGTAAGATGTTCGTTTCTTCTCACTGCGGAGTTCCTAAGGTTCCACACCGTCAAAGAATTGCTCCTCTTAGTGTCTCTTCTGCATATCCCAGCGGTCCGATGGTTGATTGTCTGCGAGACACGTTGCCCAGCAGGACGAAATCATCCGTCCATCTTAGACTGCTGCCTGGGATCGGGGGAACATCTCCCCTCCACCATTCCCAAAATGTTCTGGACAAGTCACAGTGAAGGAACATGTGTTGCAAGTCTTCAATTCTGGTTCCTGGACAAATGGTGCACAAAGGGGAAGCTTTAGTCATTCTTCTAGCACACCAGGCGGCCGTTGGCAGCGCTTGGTGCATAAGGAGCCACAGTAGACTAGCTTGTTTGACCACTGACAGATCCAGAAGCAGTTTCCAAAAACGCGGCAATGCAGATCTGCCACCCAGCCGGAAGCCACCCACCTTCTGGTTGGTCGCCTGCCGCGCCGCGCCGGACCTCTCCGCAGCTAGAAGGAAACAAACAAACAAACAAA